TTGGTGTGCAAGAGGACTCCCTCACAGCTTCACACACACACACACACACACACACACACACACACACACACACACACACACACACACACACACTAGGGCTGCTCGATTATGGCAAAAAATCATAATCTCGATTATTTGGGTCAATAATTGTAATTGCGATTATCAAATGCGATTAACATCCATTTATTGGAGAAAAAAAACGTGAACAGTATGTTTTTAACAGTTGATTACCCTGAACTTTAAGTAGAATTAAACTGAAAAACCCAAAAAAAAAAAATTATTATTTTAAAAAAAAATAATAATAATTTTTTTTAAATCGTTTTATTTCGATTACGTTGTTTTCGTAATCGTTGCAAGCCATAATCGTAATCGCGATTAAAATACGATTAATTGAGCAGCCCTAACACTCACACACACGCACACACACACGGGGGGATCGGAGGGCTCTGTGTGTTTACAGTCATTAACCTCCTGTTGTTCTGCAGACGTCTCACTCCCTTGTTGGCAGAGGAGTCAGGTTTGTGAAGGTCGGTGAGGTTTTGGTGCAGTGAGAGTTTGGAAACTAAGTTTGGATGCATGTCAGGATGTCCCCGCTCAGCGTTGAGTGTGAACGAGCCTGACAGGAGAGGACTGGAGGGAGGAGGGGAGAGGACAGGAGAGGACGGGAGAGGAGAGGAGGGGAGAGGACAGGAGGGGAGAGGACAGGAGGGGACAGGAGAGGACAGAAGAGGACAGGAGAGGACAGGAGAGGACAGGAGGGGAGAGGACAGGTGAGGACAGGAGGGGACAGGAGAGGACAGGTGATAAGGAGAGAGAGGAGCTCACTGTGCTGACAGCAGGAGGCTGGGTGTGTCCTAAGGGGGGACGGGGAGGGTCTTCTTCATGAATATTCGGATGATGACAGACACATAACCTTTGTGGGTCAGAGTGTATCTCTACGGAGTACAAGGCAACCTTTTATTCCTTTCTGGGCTTTTATGGCCAGGAGGTACAATAAACTATTGTTTTTCAAGCATTTTGGACTATTTTGCTTCTATTCAAGTCTCCTTTCAAACTAGTGGAACGAAAAAAGAAAAGAAATATCCATCATGTGATTATTTTTCTCACTTCTATTTGCGTCTGTAGAAGAATGTTCCAATAAATATCTTAAGAAGCTGCTTTCCTAAACTGATTGATGGACTAATGCAAAGAATATAAAATCTTCTTGTAATTTGGAATTTTGAACCTGGCTTTATCCAATTTTCAGTATCATTCAGTAATCATTTATAATTAGGACAAGTTTCATGAGATAATGCACAACATTATATACAATTCAAGACATTTTGTATTAAACTAAGGAATATACTGTTTTTACAGTTTCCTTCCTAACGAATTTAAATCCAAGAAACAGTGTTTTTCAACTGTTGAGTATTATTTGTAATCCAATAAGCACCTATCTGACATGTTTGGCTTTAGTCGGGATCAAGCTGGTGACTTGTAAAGCACCCTCTCCTTGCTGTAGACAGAGGTCTAAATATAAAACTGGATATTTTTGATCCTAGTATTTAAGATTCAGAGAGTCTTCATCTTGTGCTCTTGAGAGAGATTAGAGCAGCAGAACAGAAGAGGAGCATGCTGAGACGAATGCACATGTACACACAGAGAGAGAAGCAATGGAAACTTCCATCAGGCTTGCAGACACATGTGTTGCAGTTTGAAATAAATAAGTGCTGCTGCGGCTTCACTTTGATCAGAGGGTGAGCAGAGTGTCTCGCAGCACATGTTGGTTCCAGGGCTGAGTCACAAACTGGAGTACTTTCTTTGGCACCAAAACGCAACGTTTCTGCAACACAGAGGATCATAAAACTGTCAAGTCCTGACAGGGTGTCCGCAGGGTCTTAAAAAGTATTACAAGTTGATGAATCAATTTAGCGAAAATGAAGGCTATTAAAAAGTATGAAACGGCATTTTCCAAGGTGTTACATTTTGTAGCTTGTTTTCAATAAGTATATAAATGGTCCAAAGAGGTTGTATTCTACAGTCTGCCTGAATGTAATCATGGCGTAGGTGTGTAGTGTGATTCTGTGTAGTTTATTTATGGCATCCCGTTGGGTTTGACGTCATCTGAACAGGACATCGCACGCTCACTGCTTGATAGCGCGAAGGTCCGTTTACGCCGGTTGTTAAACAACATCGTTATGGGGAAATGCAAGTCTGCGTCCAAATGGTTGGAAGATAAGGAGGAAGGACAATCAATACTGTATATAGTCAATGTGAGGTAAAGTGTGTCGCCAAGGTAACCGGTTAGAACTCCAAGTGGAGATGAGGTCTTAAAATGTATGGAAAGGGTCTTAAAAAAGGTCTTGAAAGGAATTACCTTTGACTTCAGGATTCCTGCTTAGACCCTGGTGAGGCTAGATTTGTAATCTTGTTTATGCTATTGTGTGAGCACCAGGTTCAACTTTAGACACCAGTTCTGGTTCATTTACCAGTGAGAAGTGTTGCCTCTTGTGTTAAATTAAAGGGATTCCTCACAGGTTGCCAAGCAATCTCACAGTAAGGATAATGCACCAGGAAGCTACCGTTCAGAGCCAAGGAGTAGACCAGTACAGACACAAGAAATAAAAACCACAGCTTGTCCTATTTACACTTACTATCAATCTGAAACAGCTAAACGCAGAGTTCCTCTTACTCGACAGGTGTTGACTTTGGTCTGTTTGGACTATCTATCTATCTGTTGTTGGATCCCAATTTTCCACATTTCTATCATTCAATTCATTGATTCAAACCATGACCACCACAGTGTTTCATTCAGATGTCCTGGCATGGTAAACATGAGATAAAAGTAAGTTTCTCCTAATTGTCAGCACTTTGTGAAGTATTCCCCCCCTCTCCATTTTCAGTATGACTAATAGGAACGTTGCTGCTGGCCTGTTGGGTTTAAAGAGGATAGTAAGATGGTATTTCCCATCTTTGCTTAGAAATCAAACAGACCAGACCCAAATATGCACTGGTTATGCAGTTCAGTTGTTGATGGGGTTAAACGAAGCAGATATATGTCGATTAGATCAGAAAGGTGCTTAAAGGATTTGTTTTGTTGCCTTCAGACCAGGGGGTCAAACTCAATTTCATCACGGGCCACATTAGCATTATGGTTGCACTCAAAGGGCCGGTTGTAACTTTAAGACTATATAGATATTTAATATATATAAAATAATGTTATTGCCTCTGCATTGGGTTGTTATCGGATAGGGTAATAACTTCATAATTAACTACGTCTGAAAGCAGAAGTCTAGGGCAAATAATTGCAAGTCTCTTCAGTGAGGATGTCACAAAATGTTTTTAAAAGAAAAGCCAAATACTGAAGAAAAAAAGTCACAAAATATAAGTGAAATTTTGGAGAGAAAAAGTCAAATTCTGAGGAAAAAAAGTCTAATTTTAGATGCATTGTGGGACATGTAGTTTATGGGCAACGTGCTTGTAACCGTATAATAAACATATTATATTCTTTCAGAGCTGTTGTGGGCCACATAAAATGAAGTCACGGGCCGGATTTGGCCCCCGGGCCTTGAGTTTGACACCCCTGCTTTAGACAAACTAACTCTCTTCATTACATTCCCAGTCTTTGAGCTAAGCTAGGCTAAGCTAACCGGCTGCTAGCTGAAGCTTTAACTGAGAAATATGCCAATGATATCCATCTTATGTAACTATTACTTTAAAATATTGTATTTTTAAAGTAAGGTATTGAAATGTAGGCTCTGTTTTTGGTATTGGTAAAAAAACGTACCGAGCCCTTAAGTGGATTTTTCCCAGTTGTCTTTCGCGTTTTTTGTTGTCTATTAAGTCCATTTTAGCATTTAGGTTCATTACAAGATACTTAGAGTTGGCTTAGCATCTACAGAGTAATACTTTTTGACAGTTTAAATATTTAAACTGCAGCCAGTCTGCTCCAGGCGATGTGTTCTGGGTTGCAGAGCGTACGGATCAGTCGGGGCTTCAGAGGCTTTGTCAGCCGGGGAAATGAGAACTCATTAAGTTATCCAAACAAGCCCTCCGCAGATCCTGTAACTGTCAGCTGGGATAAAGAGCACACAGATAACCTTCATCTGAACTGGCAGGCCTGAGATATCATCAGGAATATGCAAATCAGAGGTTTAATGTCTCTCCAAACCATCCTAAACATCCAGTGGAACATTCCTTTATAACAACAGGGGAGGGACATTAAATACCTTATTATCTGAGGGTGGAGATGAGAGATCTCTAAAGAACGTTTGTAGAAGGGCTGGGCAACTTGAACAAATGAAATATTATATTTCTGATCAGATACCATGATATATTAGCATATTGGTGCGTTCACTAAATACTAACACAATTTGTTTTCTTTTATGTGGTTAAAATGACTTAATGCTAATAATAAAATAGCTTAAACCTGTTGGGACAGTTCACAAAATGACTTTGCTTCACTTTAAAGGGACTCCATTATGATTTTTAGTGTTATGGTTTGTGTGCATGTAAATGGTCTGCTAAGGCTAAAATCTCAAAGTTTCAAAGGAGTTTCTCTAGCACACCCTTTGAGGAGCCTGGGACTTTCCAAACTGTATCTATTGTGCATATGACAATAAAGCACTTAGATGTTGGAATGTGTAAATTGAATTATAACAAAGCCTCTTACGGTGCGAGTTATATCCTCGTACAGCAGATGGTTCTGGAGCAGCGGGGGGTCCGCTCCAGATATTTATTACCCCGCGACATAAATGGCCTGAGCAGCTTAATCCCACATGCCGGGGGGGGGGGGGGCTTTGGTTAAATAACGCCCCATCCCCAAGCATTATTAACGCTATGTGGGTAAGCCTGATAAAATGGCATGGTGATAAGCTGACGTGAAGCTCGGAGAACCGAAGTCTCAGCATTCCTGCGCGCTCCCTGAGAAAGTCATGTGATGGTGGTGCAGGGTTCACAGGATGGACATTAACCAGCCTCTATCTCTCTCTCTCCCTCTCTCTCCCCCCCCCCCCCCACAGGTCGGTGTCTGGTATGCAGCCATGTGAGGAAGAGTTTGTGTATCCCCGCTGAGGCTCCATCCAGCCTGATTTACAATATCTTCAGAGACAAGAAGTCTGCGGCCTCCCTCCACCTGATCTGTTTACTCGGACTCCTTGTGTAACTTTCCCATGTAGCCCGAGCTGGACTCGTTGCCATGTGCACGGCAGGGACATCGCAGTCTCAATATAACATGTGAAGCAGAGAGAGCAGGGATGTGTGGTTCTTCTGGAAGCAGGTTCCATTCTCTGCTTCATTTTCCACTGCAATGACATCTCAGTGTGTTGGGGGAATCAGCTGATTGTTGTGATGCCACCATCTTCAAATGGACGCTCACTGAATCCTTAAAGTGCAAATCAACGACTAAACGTCTGCTTAAAGCAAATAAAATAAAAATGTAAATAATGGTAGCTTTGCCTTAAAAAAGGTCAGATTCGTGCTGAATGCTAAAATGATCATGATGAAAGACCTGTCTCCACATAGTGCTTTTTTATGAGCGACAACATCTTTGTGTACGTGTTTCCAATAACTAGAAAGTGCATTCTGTTTCCCACGACCGCCTCAAGAGAAAGCGCTGCACCTAGCGTCCTTTTCTGAGCAGGCTGGCATTTTTTTGCCGACGCTACTATCGCTTAAGTTATATATCCGAAATATTTTGCATTTACCAAATATTGCACTTACTGCGATTTTGAATGATACCTGCCAGCTCATTGGGAAAAGAGAGGCAACACAAAACCAGATTGACTTGGTCCCCAACGAGCTGGGGCGTAACATAAATGGGTTTTTTAATTCATTTCAATTCATTTTGCAACCCTACCGGAGATGGTGGCAAAAAGAAAAACATTAGCTACCATCAACCAGCAACTTCTGCTAATGGAAAACAAACGAAAAGTGAGTTGTATAGAATCGTACCATGCAGGGAAAATGCTTCAATGTGAGCTCTGGGCTTCAAATCTTCTAACTTTCTAACGCCTCCTGAGATGAATCTGCTACTGCTCATCTGCATAAATCCACATGTGCATCATCCTGCCGTCAGATGTCCACTTCTCCAGACTCTGGAAGGACTTCTGTGTCACTTTGACATGTTGTTTGACATCAGACTAAACAGACGTCAGCTGGAGCTTTGTTGTGGTCTCTCTCTCTGAGCGTTTCCTCAGGTGTAATTTAATGAAACGCTGAATTAGACCTTTGGCGTGTGGTCTAGTGCGTTGGTGTTAGGGTCAGGGGAGCACAGGTTCAAACCCCACTGCAGTCAGCATGTCGTCGTGAGACAAAGTGCTCCTGTGGGGATTGTCCACAGTATGTATGTAAGTCGCTTTGGATAAAAGCGTCTAACAAGTGACATGTGATGTAATGGGGGAAGCAGAGAGGATTTGGGGAAGCGTATGATTTCGTGCACAGAAACAAACCTCCTGTCTGTATTTTTAGCCGTTGGACTCGGGCTTCCCTCAATTTTGGTAAAGCTAAATTTGTATCTTTCCTCCTCGAACTGAAAATACACGCTCGCTAAAGAGAGAATGAGGCGGGGGGAAAAGATGCTTTTCTGTTTCAAGATGTTATTTCTAACTATGATTTTGGCTACTGTGTGTCTCAGGGTGTGTATAGTTGTGCCTGTTTTTGTTAAAGGAAGGTTTTCTGTCCTCTTCTTGTGTGAATGTACTTTTTGCGATAAACACTTTACTTATTACGGACTGAACTCTTACATTGTTCTTACATTTAAAGCTTAAACGTTGCCAAAACCTGAATATCTAACCTTCGTTTCATTCTGGATTTAAGTAACAAGTAGTGTCCAAAGTATAGGGAATACTTTTTTAGCTATGATATTATTTCCTGTGTGTATAGTTGTACATATTTGCTCTGTAATGAACTTGTAGAAGCCTTTGATTTGCACATTTTGTACAAAGAAGTTTCTTAACGGTCTTAATTTTATATCTTTGTCTTAACCCAGCTTGGGTAGTGTGAATAATCAAAGCATTTTTGTAGCAAATTCTCAACAATCTCCATTTTCTTCTGTGTGTAAATATCAAATACACTGATATATTAAGCTATTACTGATACACCATTTGTTACTTCCTGTTCTACAGCCCATAACTCGTCAATAAATATCTTGTTGAAAACATATTTTCCGCAGTTTGGCCTCTATTTCTTTCCCAGGGAATGAGTGGAATTCAGCGGCTGTGTCATTAAGCAGCCGTGTAATCACAGGTTCCCAACGTGCCTGGAATAGTTTCCAAACGCAGGTTAAAGGAGTGGTTCGGTATTTACCGGAAACACCCGTCTCCTTGCTGCTGTCTGTGAGAAGATCCAGAGGGATGAACAGTCCACGCTCCGTCTTTATTATCCTCTACTTATCATAGAGATATCACATCCTGGTTATTTGGTATGTGTAGAGCAAGAAGAAGTACTCAGATGTTGTACTTAATTAGAAATGAATACCACAGAGGTAAAGGTAACACATTCATATCTTTACCTAAGTATATAGCATCAAATATTAGCATAAACATATACTCTGCATGTGCAACATATGGCTGATTTCAGAACAATGTATTATATATTGTAATATAAGGATTTTTACATACATTGGTTTACCACGTTATTGTTTAAGATATAGGTTTGGGCTCATTTCTATTCTACAAATATTTATACTACATAGTATTTGTGAAATGTCCCCAAGGAGTAACTTGTGTTCAATCTAAACATGTGGTGGAATAAGACCAAACGGAAACAGAGACATGGGCAATTTTCTGATGTCTGTTGCTTCATGGACAAATAAAATACAATTTGACAAGACAAACGAAAAGAACGACATTTACACGAGTGTTAACTATATAATATCAAAACATTGCAATGCAGCACTTGAGTTACTCTCCACCACTGTTCATGTAAGATGTCACTGCTGCTCAGAGGTATTCAGGTGCTGCTTCCTCTCCAGCCGACACTTCAATCTCATTGTTGCTGGAAGAGACTGAAAAATATTGATTGACCTTGGGAACAGTAGCTAACTAAAGGGCACACAATGTCTCTCAACAGATGGATGCTTAAGTTAAATGTAAACATGACAGGGTGGTGCAGGCAGGGCGTATTTATTCCATATCCTTGATATCAGACGGCAGCTGCCTACACTAGTTGGCTCTTTGATTGCACTTGTTAGATTTATGGTCAAACTAGTTTGGCACTCTGCTTTCTAGTTGAATAAAACATTATACTAGTCACTCTTTTTCGGCAGCTAGTGGCACTTTTGTCCGACTAGTTACCACATAAGCCTTACTAGTGACGCCAGGAGCAGCACTAGCACCAAAGTCCCAATTTGTACGTTTTTTGATGAACTAGTGTATGGGAGACGGTGCATTGGGGTGTAGGGCAGATGCAGCGTTGGGTGGAGGGAGGGTTGTGTGGTTGGCTCGTCTGCAGGCCTGGCAGGGAGGAGACGCTCAGAGGAATTCACCCTCTCTCTGAACGGGCTGCTGCAGGATCAGGAGATGTTCGTGACGTCTGAGATATCGAGCCGCTGCAACAACCACATGATGAGCTACTGGGATACTTTACCTTTCAAGTCTTCCTCTTTTATTACGAAGTTAAAGATTACCTTGCAACAGATGATTTAACCCCAAGAGAAGAAAATGACCCATGGCGACCTAAACCTAGCTTCTGTTCCCTATTAGCAGGTGAAATACCAACATTTTTTGTGAATTTTATCACTGGAAAAAAGCCTGCAATAATCATTGAAATTAGAGTTTTTACTGTCAAACAGCTCCTTTCAAAGTTCCCCTTTCAATGGTAGTGTAATAATATTGTAATATGATTTATAACATGATTCTGTCGACACTTAAACCTGTGGTTTTTCAGAGCATCATCAATCTTTCCTCGTCCTTCCTCACCACTCTCCATTTCCTCCTGTCGCTCTGCATGCAGGAGACGAGACGAGTTACCTTGAGGAAGACGGATGTGTGTGTGTGTGTGTGTGTGTGTGTGTGTGTGTGTGTGTGTGTGTGTGTGTGTGTGTGTGTGTGTGTGTGTGTGTGTGTGTGTGTGTGTGTGTGTGTGTGTGTGTGTGAGGCAGTGAGAGTGAAATGAAACGCTGCAGAGAGATGCTCTCGGAGGGAAACATCAAACCAAATGTTTTGCAAGTTGTTTGCAAGTCGAGCTCAGAGAGATTTGAATATCAAATCCTCTGATACGTGGATCTGTGATCGTCCTAAATATTTAAAGCAGCAGTGAAATGCTCTAGATGTCAACAAACTGGATAAACAGGAAACATTACGCTGAAAAGGCTCCGACTTAATATTCTGAAATGCTATAAATGGCATGATTTGTGTTGAACAAACAGTGGCGTCTCATAATGCAGTGCCTTTGTAGAAACCTTACAAAGGCAGCAGGAACTTCAAAGCTGTGGTAATTGGATGTAAACATGAAGCGGCTCTTCTGCAGCCAGGACATCATGTAAGCTGCTATTGAGGGATTGAGTGAAGCGTGGGGACATAATGCACCATCATCATTTAGGAGATGATTTTTCAAAGTTAAGAACATTTAAGAATTGGATTTAAAACAAACAAAAAGTGGGAGGAAAAGGAGAGAGAAACAAACACAAACTGAAACTTTTTATATTTAAAGGTCACCTATTATACTGTTTCTCATCAATATATCACAGGTCTCAGATATATACAAACCTGTCTCTGATTGGCTGAAACACCAAACAGATCATTGCAGCATTACCCATAATCCCCTCTGTTTCAGCCCTGTTTCCAAAGTGCTGATTCTCTGTCTGTTACTTTAGATGAAAATAAGGAGCCCCTCCCCACGCCCCTCTGAGAGAGATTTGGTTACAAAGAACTCAATGGTGCTCTAGGAGGAGATTCAGGTGATAAGGGGGGGGGGGGGTTACCTTGGTTGCTGATTGGCTAATGGTTACACAAGACAAAACATCGTTATGACATCATAAAGTGGCCAAAATCTGATCAGCTCATTTTTAGACATGTTTTTATAGAAATGGATCAAAAAGAGAGAGAGTCTCTTTCCACAGAGGGGACACATGTTGATGTAGAAGAGACATGAAGAAGAGGGGACACATGTTGATGTAGAAGAGACATGGAGAAGAGGGGACACATGTTGATGTAGAAGAGACATGGAGAAGAGGGGACACATGTTGATGTAGAAGAGACATGAAGAAGAGGGGACACATGTTGATGTAGAAGAGACATGGAGAAGAGGGGACACATGTTGATGTAGAAGAGACATGGAGAAGAGGGGACACATGTTGATGTAGAAGAGACATGAAGAAGAGGGGACACATGTTGATGTAGAAGAGACATGAAGAAGAGGGGACACATGTTGATGTAGAAGAGACATGGAGAAGAGGGGACACATGTTGTGTAGAAGAGACATGGAGAAGAGGGGACACATGTTGATGTAGAAGAGACATGAAGAAGAGGGGACACATGTTGATGTAGAAGAGACATGAAGAAGAGGGGACACATGTTGATGTAGAAGAGACATGAAGAAGAGGGGACACATGTTGATATAGAAGAGACATGAGGAAGAGGGGACACATGTTGATGTAGAAGAGACATGAAGAAGAGGGGACACATGTTGATGTAGAAGAGACTTGAAGAAGAGGGGACACATGTTGATGTAGAAGAGACATGAAGAAGAGGGGACACATGTTGATGTAGAAGAGACATGAGGAAGAGGGGACACATGTTGATGTAGAAGAGACATGAAGAAGAGGGGACACATGTTGATGTAGAAGAGACTTGAAGAAGAGGGGACACATGTTGATGTAGAAGAGACATGAGGAAGAGGGGACACATGTTGATGTAGAAGAGACATGAAGAAGAGGGGACACATGTTGATGTAGAAGAGACTTGAAGAAGAGGGGACACATGTTGATGAAGAAGAGACATGAAGAAGAGGGGACACATGTTGATGTAGAAGAGACATGAAGAAGAGGGGACACATGTTGATGTAGAAGAGACATGAAGAAGAGGGGACACATGTTGATGAAGAAGAGACTTGAAGAAGAGGGGACACATGTTGATGTAGAAGAGACATGAAGAAGAGGGGACACATGTTGATGAAGAAGAGACATGAAGAAGAGGGGACACATGTTGATGTAGAAGAGACATGAAGAAGAGGGGACACATGTTGATGTAGAAGAGACATGAAGAAGAGGGGACACATGTTGATTACTTTTTATAACATACTTAACTAACTTTCTATGTCATTCCATATCACAACTCATATGACATGAGTACAAGTAAGTACAACATACTATACTATTACTTTCTATATATTATGCCATCACCTTATTTATGACTTTTAATGTCAAACTCTACCATTACTTTTTTATGACATACTCAAGTATTACATTTTATGACAAACTATACCATCACGTTTTATGATGAAATATACTTATACCTTATTTCCTGCATTCAAAATCGTACTCAAGTAAAAGTACATACAGTTTAGCCTCAAAATATACATAAAGTACCAAATGTAATAGTGAAATAGTGCAGAGCCATTGTAAAATATTTGATAAGACATAGTATTTTTGGCCTTTCAAGGATCATAGATGTATATATTAAATGACTGTATTTTGATTATTGATGCATTCTTTTGTTGATTACAGCTGGTTAAAGTGAAGCTAATAATTATACTGTAGCGACACCAAAGTATAGAAATGCTCAGTTAAAGGTGGGGTAGGTAAGTTTGAGAAACCGGCTCGAGATACACTTTGTTATATTCCATGGAATGCTCTTAACATCCCGATAGCAATTAATACATTAAGTGCTTTGACAACAAATCCATAAAAATATCCTCTGTGGAAGCCGTGGCGCTGTAAAAAGCACGACCAATCATCTGAGCCGGCCCGGCTAAAGTAACTGGATGGCCTACCTGCCTGTCAGCCTTCCATCTGTGCACAAACTTATCTCGTGCCCTCATTGGTCATGTGTGCGTTCATGTGTGTTGGAGGAGGGGCTCTGTGAGGAATTGCCAGATTTTATCCGGCTGTGTATTTTAGGAGCAGTAGGTAAGTTTGAGAAACCGGCTTGAGATACACTTTTTATGGGCATAGATATGTCTCATAATTATTTGTGTGAACATACAAATAATTTGTGTGTAAA